TGAAACCTGTATTTTAAAGAAGAAAGTGCTGCATCCCATAAAGGATCAAGAATTTCTCATAATTTGAGTATAGTTCTATATTAGGGCTCTCCAGAAAAACAGAACCAATAGGGGGTATGGGGGGTTGTGGATGGATGGATGGATGGATAGAAAGATGGTAGGTAGGTAGGTAGGTAGATAGATAGATAGATAGATAGATAGATAGATAGATAGATAGATAGATAGATAGTAAGGAATTGGCTCCCATGATTATGGAGGCTGAGGAGTTCCAAGTTCTGTAGTTGGCAAGCTGGAGACCCAGGAGAGGTGAAATTTAATTCCAGCCTGAGTCCAGCCTGAAAAACAGGAGGAGCTGTTTTAGTCCAAGTGAGAAGGCTAGAAAAGACCGATGTTCCATTTCAAGGTAGGCAGAAAGGGTTCCATTCCCTTTTATTTGGCCTTTATGGTTTTTTTTAGTTTTTATTTAAGTTCCAGTTAACATACAGTGTAATATTAGTTTCAGGTGTACAGTACAGTGATTCAGCACTTCCATACAACACCCAGTGCTCATCACAAGTGCCCTCCTTAATCCCCATCTCCTATTTCACCCATCCCCCTCACTCACCTCCCTTCTGGTAACCATCAGTTTTCTTCTCTATAGTTGAGTCTGTTTCCTGGTTTGCCTCTCTCTCTTTTTTTCCCCTTTGCTTGTTTGTTTTCTTTATTAAGTTCAGCATATGAGTGAAATCATGTGGTATTTGTCTTTCTCTGACTGACTCATTTTGCTTAGCGTAATACTCTCTAGCTCTATTCATGTCACTGCAAATGGCAAGATTTCATTCTTATTTATGGCTGAGTAATGTTGCATTTTATATATATATACCTCATCTTCTTTATCCATCAGTCGATGGATACTTGGGCTGTTTCCATAATTTGGCAATTGTAGATAATGATACTATAAACATCAGCGTGCGGGTATCCCTTTGAATTGGTATTTTTGTATTATTTGGTTAAATACCTAGTAGTGCAATTGCTGGATCATAGAGTAGTTCTATTTTTAACTTTTTGAAGAACCTCCATACTGTTTTCCAGAGTAACCACACCAATTTGCATTCCCACCAACAGTGCAAGAGGATTCCCCTTTCTCCACATCCTGGCCAATACCTCTTGTTTCTTGTGTTGCTGATTTTAGCTATTCTGATAGGTGTGAGGTAATAATGTTCTATTCAGTTCTTCAATTTATAGGTTGAGGTCCACCCACATTAGGGAGGGCAGTCTACTTATTTTACCTATTCACATGTTAATTTCATCCAGAAATACCCTCACAGTCACACCCAGAATAACGTTTGACCAAGTGTCTGAGCACCTTGTGGCCCAATCAAGTTGACACATAAAATTAATCATTACAAATGCACGAAAGTGTGAAAATAGAATTGAAATTATTGGAGTTTAAATGTAGAATAATATGAGAAAAAAAAACAAGAAATATAATGAGAATGAGGGTACAGTGGAAAATCTGTGAGTCACAGGCTTTAAAGACCACATTGAAGTTAGATAATACTTACTTCTCATAGATCCTGGAACAAGAATTATGGGCATTATATTTGAGCCAAGATCGTTTTAGCACTTAAATCTAGATTGCATCACAATTTGGAGACACTGAAATTTTGAAACCAGTAAGCAAATAGCCCCACAAGTGTAGATTAGGATGAATTCTGTGGAAGTAGAAAGCAAATTCAAGACCATGAGCAGAGTAAAACAAAACAAAATCAACAGAGGTTAGTGAAAATGTAGTAGAGTGAGGAAAATAAAATGAATTTGAATGTTAGTGTCATTGAGAGCAGTGAGAAATTAAGAGGAGATTTATTTGCGGGATCAAAGATGAGACATTTAAGATGACATGTAAAACTTAAAGGACCTTTTTACGCTCAACTTCCAAATAAAGTGTCATAAAATATTTTAAAATGCAGACATGATGGGTGTTAATATGCAAGGGGAACTTTTGTCTTTTAAACAGTTGTTACAGGGGCGCCTGGGTGGCTCAGTCGTTAAGCGTCTGCCTTCGGCTCAGGTCATGATCCCAGGGTCCTGGGATCGAGCCCTGCATCAGGCTCCCTGCTCAGCAGGAAGCCGCCTTCTCCCTCTCCCACTCCCCCTGCTTGTGTTCCTTATCTGCTGTTCTTTCTCTGTCAAATAAATAAATAAACAATCTTTAAACCGTTGTTACAAGTATATTATTTTTTGTCTACTTTGAAAAACAGTATCAGAAAAAAACATGCTGTACCTGAGTTGCTATTGTGGTAAAATAATAATGTCTTGTAGCACAATATTGTACTAAGTTGCTGTTACCATACCTTTATCCATATAGTTAAGAAAATTAAGTTTGTATACTCATTCTACTAGTGGTTGGTCTTAAAGTATTTTTGTGCTCCATTATTTCTTACATATTTTATATCACAATTAAATATATACTACTTTCATTATAATAAAAAATTGTGAAATGCACCATTATTTCATGTTATTCTAATTACTACCAGAAATATTTAACTTGCAGCAGTGAGTAGTGAAGTAATTACAACTTCCATTTAGTTTCAAAGATTAAGAGATCGAGGGATTTCTTAGAATATAGAATCAATTTTTTTAACACTGAAGTTATTAGGAATATTTTGTGATTTTGGTTTCCTGACTCTAGAATTGCTTTCACATTAAAGGCACCAATTCTGAGCTCAGCATTCTGTGGAACTGGACTGACAAGCCGCTAACCTGTTTTTTAAGCCTTTTAAGCTTTATATTGTTAAAGAGGAGTTTCCTTATTCTTTTCTGGTAGGCATGGACAAAAATTTCTAGAAGGAAGCCAGTGCGTAATACACACTTCTACTGTGTGATCACTGTAATTAGCTGATAAGATTGCTCGCCTTACTTTATAGAGAAGAGGTCAGAGTTTGGGAGAGGTCATTTTGGAGCCTGAGGCACATCAAGACAGATAGGTTTGAAGTAGCACAGGGATCATGTTCAGTCCTGAGGAATCACTTCTTGAAAGTCCGGGGCGTATTAGGAGAATTCTAGCAGCGCCCATGCTAGTCAGGACACCAAGTTAGGTGAAGGAAATTAGTGCCTGAGATAAATGAAAACTGAAGTTAAATTTTCCTGCTAATTATATCATGACATAAATTCCAGATCCCTCCAGTAGTCGTCTACTGGTTTTCAAAGGTGTTTTAAAATGTCTAAGTCTCCTATGTCTTTATTTTCCATTTTCTACTTTTTCCTGGTTAATGTGTTTGTAAACTGACATTTTGAAGAGGATGATAAATACAGATGATTTATTGATATGTAGTATGGATAAGTGATTAATTGGGAAAACTTGTGGGATATATCCTTCTCCTGATCCTTTCTTAACATAGGTGAAATTAGTTGTATCTGTATAATACTTTGTCAAATCCTCACCATCCTTTGTGAAAGAAAATACAAAGTTACTTGACAGGGCTGCCTCCTGGTACCCTGTATGTTCTCTATATACGTCCACATATTTAAATGCATACTGAGCCCATATTCTTCTCCACACTGATTGTGTGTATTTTATACTGTGATAGAAATGTTTTTATTTGAAAAAAACATGTGTACACATATTTCCCTGACACTCTTCCAGTTTTTAGAAAAATATGTTCAAGTTTTTCCTGCTGAAAACTTTGTTTCTGAGTAGATACATCATCTTTTTAAAACCTTTCCCCCAAGATTTCTTTTTAAATGGCTCACAGTTAAATTTAAATTTCTATATTTAGGTAGAATTATGTTTATATACCAACCACCAGTATCCAGGAAATTCAGTGGTAAGGCTGACACATAGGGAGTTTATAGTCTATTTTGTAGTCTGTGTATTTAGACAAGGTTTGAAGCTTACTTAGCAAAATCGCTTAAACATTCGAGCAGAATTTCTCCAGTACAAATGCACTATTTGATTCCTTATAATTGTTAAGATAACAGTGTGTCACTTTTTAAAGATTAGTTCTCAGGAATATGTTAGATTTATTCCCTTCAAAGAAGAATGCATTTAGGAACAGCCTTTATATGTAAATATTTTTATAATACTGGATAGAGATGGTGTGGTGCAATCACCATGGTTTGATCAAATTTGGAAGACGTTACGGGCACATATTTGTAGTGTTTTCTCCAGCATCTTTATTTTTTTCATCTGGACGTATTTTATGTTCCTTCCAACTAATCAAAATAAGAAACCGATTTTGCCTTTGCCAAAAAATAGAACTATCATTTTTCACATTCTTTTATTTTCCAGGTCATTTTCAAGTAAGATTGTGTTTCTAGGACTTCTGAATTCCAGAAAACTCTCAACTTTGTAGATATAAGGACCCAGATGAACATTTCAGGGGGAATCTAACTTTTCATGCAGTATGTTTTGTGTTGTGCATTCCAGATACAGTTAACTTTTTGTATGCATGTGATTAGTGTGGAAAGAAATTAATGCAGTCCAGTATTATGATTTATGGACTGAATCCTTTGCCCACTGAAGACTTGCCAAAACTAAAACTATTTTTTTTCCTTTGGATATTAGAAACAGCTACTGTTTTTGTTGATCTTTTAAAGTTCTGAATGGGCCTATTTCAAATCATACCAGCATGGGAGCTTAGATTAATAATATACTTATTCAACTAGTGATACTGAGTGAAACCATTGCTCACATGGATATGAGGATAAAATTTCATAAAATTATTTTCAGGTGCATTAATGCATTTCTGGAAGCTGCACATGATTTTTCTTTTGCATGAAAGAAATCAGGGATTTCTGTTTATTGTATCAGTTACAGGTGGGCTTATAAGTTAATTTAATTGCATTTTTTTACTTTAAAACATAAGACATTTCACTTTTAAAAGCAGTAATGTGATTGCCAGATTATTCCCAAAGGTTTTTAACTCTTAGTATATTTATCTCTCTTGAGACATCATGACTGTAGTATACTTAATTTAGATTATGGAGAGAAAAAAATCCTAAATTCTCTTTGTTATTAGTTACAGCAAGCCGCTGAAGTTTCTCAGCTTCGGGGAGCAAGGGTAATCTCCGCTGAAGACCTTCTGTTTTTGATGCGCAAAGATAAGGTAATATAAAACAATTTCCTTGTATTAACATGCCATGTTTGGTGCTTAATTACACTTATATAAGGAACTATATCCTTCTTATACAGCTTTCAAATTGGAATACTACTATTAAACTGATGTTTTAGTCTTCATAGTTTGCACAGAATGGTTTATTATAAGAGAATTGATTGTTTAACAAGGGCCAGGACACTGATGTAGAACTAGGCTGCCAACGCATTCTCACTTTTTCTTCCCTATCTCTTTCAACATTTTCATTGCTACATAATATTCACTACGTATCAATTGTGTGCTTTGTTGGAATATGTGAGATAGAACTGAGTGGCATATTTATTTTTCTTCTAATTTTACACAAGATTACAGGCTTTCCCAGGGTTTGTTTCAAGGTTTATTCTGTGACACTGAATTATAAGGAAACAATCAATCAGTCAAGGTGAGTCTTCCAGTGGCATCAATAAAATAATGTCTAGAGTTTTTATGGTAAAGGTCTACCTTTCTTACTCTTTGAATTCTGGTAATTAAAATATTTAAGCTGGTATTTACCTGTCTAATTTTGTCCTAACTATCTCCCATGAGTAGCTAGTTGAAAATATTTTATAATGTTTTACGTATTTTTAATAACAGTGTCATCGAAAATTTACATGTACAAAAACTAGTGGAGTAACCACCTTGTGTTATGTATGGTAGCTGCTATCCCCAGTGAGCAGGCAGTGTTTGGTTTCTGATGGTCCATCTTTCACTTCTTCATTGTTTTTCCCTGGCCTTTTCATTACACGTACCCATTCCTCTTCCACCATTTTTGTATGCTCGTGGCTGGGTTTTTTTGTAGTTTATTTTTTTTTGTTTTTTTGTTTTTTTGTTTTTACCAGAAGACATCCCATTAACCTTTTGGAGAACCTTGTTAACACCCTTTCCAATATCCAGTTACTTTATATCTGTGAAATCTTTTAATTCTGATTGAAGGTTGACTAAACTTAGATCAAGTATTTTCTGTCTTCCTCATAGAGTAAGATTCAGACACCTACAAACCACACCATGACTAGTCTACCATTAAATTATATAAATTCTAATTAACTCTTTGATCTTATGAGGAATATAAAGGAAGAGAAAAGAAGTGTCTTCACGATCAAGAAGCTATAATCTGGCTTAGGAAATCTGTATGATTTAGTTAAAGAAGCAGAATTTCCGAAGTTGTGTGATTAGACGAGAGGTGGAAAGATTTGTTGAAGTGGAGGTGTCTGAGACTCATGCAGTTGTATGTAGAATGGACCAAATGCAAAGGAACTAGCCAAGATGCTGGTTCAGTAGTCGAGGCAAAATGTGATGAGCATGATGGCTCTGGAAGTGGATAGGAAAGCAGATTTCAGGGAGACAGCAAAGAGTACAAATACACAGGATTTGGTGACTTCATTATACTTGGAGGACCAAGAAGTAATAGGCACTGGGCAGCAGTAGTGCTGTGAGGAAGGAGCTTGCCTTTGACAGAAATGAGGACCTGGAGCCAAGGTCCTTCGTGAAGGCCCCTGGAGAACAGTGGAGTTAGTATTAGTACTTTACAGAATATGTCCAATCAACTTCTCTTTTTCATGACAGAGGTAAAGAGGCTAGCACAAAAAACAGTCCACATTGACACTTTCTCCTGCCTTTTGGGAAAGTCAGCATTTAAAATCATGGTGATACTATAGGAACATACACTAATTGACAGGGCCCCTCTACTGCCCAGAAGGACTCTTAACCAGAATCCTTTCATCAACTGAGAACATAGCTGTAATATAGCTGCCAGAGTTCTCATCTTTCTTTTCAAAATAATAATTGTATTTATCTGCTGACATGTTCCAAACAAAAGTAAAGTAGTTTACATAGGTTTAACATAAGACAAAATAAAATCTTAAGTTTTGAATACAATCAGAGCAAAGAGAAAAGAAGGGGAGCAGAAGAACTATTTATAGGTGCATGTTTTTTCTCTTCCTAATTCCATTTTATATTCAAGCAGTATTTATTTACTGTCTACTATCTTGCTCTAGGTACCTTCACTCATTCTTTGATTTATTCATCCCAGTGGTCCTATATGGTAGGCACTTTACTTAAAATTGTAAATAAAGAAACTGAAGTCCAAAGCTTATGTTCTACTTCTGGCCCTGCTAACCTCTAGTTGTAACCTGTTTCCCTGTATATAAAAAGGAGATGATTATATTTGTCTGTATTTCAGGGTTGATCAAATAAGATGTGTGTAAAAGAGCTTTGTAAAATGCACTATATTTCAGCCGTAATTCAGAACCTTAAACCTGAAGGTCAGGAACCAAGCACACAACATATTACAAAGTATTATCAGTTACCTTTTAAGTTAAGCAGTATTATGGTCTTCTAATAAACTTAAAGAAAACCATCAAGACCCAACTATCATTCATCCGCTTTGAGTCTCATTAAAACATATTTCTCAGATTATAGAATGTTTTTCAGAAATATAAAACATAAACCAAATAAAATAAAATCTAAATTAAAAAAAAAATTTTTTTTCCAGAGAATAAAAAACAATGAAAAGGAGAGTTGCTTGGCTTTTTAAAGCAGTTGTTACAAAATCCTTGTCTAGATGTTTATAAATCACTATAGCTATCTTAGTATGGAGAGTGTGATACTTATCACAATCTTCAGGAAGAATTTAAAACTTTTTATAAGACCAAAAAAAGAAAAAGCAATTACTGTAATTCTGGAGCATTTTGGATACTTACAAATGAAAAGTGCTTTTTAAAATGCTTGTATTTTAGCATTTATGTTTAATATGATGACATCTTTTATTCCATAGTATTATGCTAAGAATTGCTGTATTTTTCGCAGTGATCCTAGAATACAAGTTTATTAAATTTAGTTATCATAGTATTCTATAATCAGTAAAGTGAATGTAATGTATAAGATTTCTTATTTCATTTTTTTAACAGAAAAAGCTTAGAAGACTCCTAAAGTACATGTTTTTCCGAGACTACAAATCCAAGATTGTCAAGGGCATAGATGAGGATGACCTTCTGGAAGGTAACCTAAAAAAAAAAACAAAACACTAAACTGAGAGCATTGTGACATGTACGTGCTGGGTGACACACTGATACAATGTCATTGTGGACTTTCCCATCACAGAAGAATATATGTGCTACTGTTAAATAATGTAGCTCAGAAATTATCCAAATACATATTTAGTTGGCAGCTAAATCTTGTGATTTTCTATTTACATGGCTTCGTAGTAATCTGTGTCAGTTCTTTTAATCATATGGCCTGTTTTATATCAGAATGTCATGAAACTGAGAAAATCATGTTGATTCAAAACATAATTAATCTTAGCAAGCATAATTTTTCTGTCGTGGGTGTAGGAAGCCAGAACTGTTTATTATATATCTCTGAAATTGACATACGGGTTTTTCTTAATTTATTATAGAAAGTATCTGATATGCAGTATTATGTAAAGTCACCTCATTTTGGTGTGTTATTACTATGCTGTTTGAAATCTTACCAACAGCCTAACACGGAGTAGAAAATTTTCTTTATCTGATTTTCCAACTCAGTTCCCCATTTCAGAATATTGAGAAAAAAATATTAATGTTGCAGAATCAAGCAGTGCTAAGCTGAAAGCAGAAACATACTAAACAATACTTATTGAGTCAAAATAAATATGTGTGTTTTAGAATAACTCATATATTTTGCATTGAATATAGTCACTGCATAGTGGGTATCCATTGCTAATAAAGACATTGATAAATAAACTCTACTGGATTAAGAACTTCAGAAAACTGCTCAAAACCAACTGAAGAGTTAACAAATTTTAGAAGTAAATTTTGATTTACTGTCAGCAAATAAGCAAGTGTAATAACCATGCAAAAAAGAGAGAAAGAAAGAAAAGATATTCATATCAAATGTTTAATCAGTGTTGCCTATTTAATTTGTCTGCAATTCTCATAGAATTTAATTTCTGAAAAATAGTTCTCCAGATGAATTTAAATGCTTCCTTATTTGAAGAGCATAAAGAATACAGACCTGAATTCCAGTCAGTCCCAATTGTCTGCTTTCTCTCTATGTGAACTTGAGGATCAGTTTTCTCATAAGTCAAAAATTATACCACTCATGGTGGAGTTCTTATGAGAGTTTAACATAATGTATGAAAATAACCTGATACATCCCTGACATTGAATAAATGATAGCTTTTAATACCAAACTCAGAACACCAAGAAGCTCAGAGTGGTGAGACTAGTATTCAGTTGTACTAACACTATCCTATCAGTCTGATGCCTTCTCCTCCTTATTTATTTCAGATCTCATCTCTTTATTTTCATTTAAATTATCTAGTTTTTTGTGTCATATAAAGTTTTAAAATAGTTGATATAACTTGTAAGATAAAGTACTCCAGTAAAATATATCTAATACTGAGGTGGGACTTTGGAGAATGGCCATATGAGGATAGACTCTTTCCCCAGTGAAAAACATTTTACTGGTGACAACTTTAAAAAGTAATGGCTTAAAGTCTCTAGAAGTTCTCCTAAGTGTATATAGCAAATGGAGAAGTACGTATTTAAGAAAATCCAAATCTCATTAATAACAGTGAGAGTCTGTTTGATTTGAGCCATGACCTGCTCCCATTACCCCTCTTCTTCCCTCGTGGCACCTCAGCTCAGTATGGTAGAAGCTTTACTCTGGGCAAGTGTTTCCAAGAACATTGGACACCTGATTCTTCAGCTACCAGTCCAGGGCAATAGTTTCCCCCCGGGAGGTTGGCGTCTCTCATCTCCTCTGGCTCCATGTTGCAGAAGCTCTATTCCATGCAGGCACAGTTAAAAGGACTGGAGCTTCCACTCATTCTCTGTTCATAGGAAAGCTCTACCCCAGCCATGGTAGGCCAAGAATACTGGGCCCTGATTGCCCCACCCTAGCTTGCTCATGGGGAATAAAGCTCCACACCAGAAGGGACAAGCCTAGAAGACAGTGGACTACCATCCCTGCCTGGCTCTTCACTCACAGATCTAGGAGTCTTTCTAGGAAAAGCCAACTGCTATTTCTACTCTCAGCTCCAGTACAGTGATGCAGAGGTTTAGCCCAGAGGGAGAGGCAGACTTTGATAACAGAGAGTTCTGCAGCTTTTTCTATGAGGACTGACTTTTTAGAACAGAGCATGTGGAAGTTCATACCTAAGGGTGGTATAGAAAACTATGGAAATCCTGACGGTTAGTAATTAAGAGGAAGCTGGAAGCTATGTGATATGAGTAACAACAAACAAAACAGTGTGTCAGCTAAAGGTTTAACAGAGGAAACAAATGGAAGAGACAGCTAAGAAGAGTCTTTCTGGGGTCAGAGCAAAATGTAAAGGCTGGCAATATATGGACTCTGCAAAGGGGCCTGACATTATTCAGACCAATCTGTGGGAAATGCCCAAGAGTATTATCAAAAACAGTAGAGCAATCAGCCAGAAGTCAGTGGAAGCTAAAAGCTGTATGTGAGACCCATAGAATTAAACCAGCCAGAAACTTAATAGAGATCAGGGAAAGTGACAGCCAAAGAGAACCTGACTAACACCACAGTCATCCCTGGTGATTGAGGAGACCAGTTGCATGCTCACAGTTATGCTGTCTGGGGAACAACTTCTGAGGCCACATGCTGTGAGGGAAAAAGATTTTATTGAACCAGTCAAGCCAAATCACTAAACAAACAACCAAACAAGCAAACAATGACAACAGGCCCCAGGAAGAAGAGGGAATTATTATTTAGAGTTGCTATAAGATAAAATGTCCATTTTCAACAACAATAACCACTAAATACTAGACAAGCAAAAAAATAGGAATGTGTAATCCATAAAAAGGGAACAAAAAGCTGACAACACAAACTGCCTTTGAGGGAGCCCAGATGTTGGACTTAGCACACAAAAACTTCAAAGTAGCTATCATCAATGTGTTCAAAGAACAAAGGAAACCATTTTTAAGGAACAAAAGGAAGGTATGATTACAGTGTCTCACAAAATAGAAAATATCAATTAAGAGAAATTAAGGCATACACTTGTCATGATGAGCACTGGCTGTTGTGTGGAAATGTTGAATCACTATACTGTATACCTGAAACTAATATTATACTGAATGTTAACTAACTGAAATTTAAATAAAAATTTTAAAAATGATTAAAATAAAGATACAGGGGCACCTGGGTGGCTCAGTTGGTTAAGCGACTGCCTTCGGCTCAGGTCATGATCCTGGAGTCCCTGGATCGAGTCCCGCATCGGGCTCTCTGCTCAGCAGGGAGTCTGCTTCTCCCTCTGACCCTCCCCCCTCTCATGTGCTCTCTCTCATTCTCTCTCTCTCAAATAAATAAATAAAAATCTTTAAAATAAAATAAAATAAAATAAAGATACAAATCATAAAAAAGAAACAAATGCAAATTCTGGAGTTGGAAAGCACAATGACTAAGATGAAAAATTCAGTGAAGAGGCTTAAAAGTAGCTTTAAAGTGAGAAGAAAGAATCAGTGGACTTGAAGACTGTTAATGATTATGCAGTCTGAAAAACAAAGAGAAAAAAGAATGAAGAAAAATTAACAGAGAAATTTAAGGCATCCTGATATGAGCCAACGTGTACACAATGGGACTACCAGAAGGAAAGAAAAAGATAAAAAGGAGCAGAAAAAATCTTCAAACAGATAGTGATTGAAACTTCTCAACTTTGATGAAAATCATTACATCCAAACAGCTCAAGGGGCTCCAATTAGGATAATCATATAGAGATCCACATTCACACATATTCTTCTAGAAATGTAGGAAGACTAAGACAAAGAGAAAATCACAAAAGCTGCAAGAGAAAAGCACCTCATCACATACAATCGAACTCCAGAAGTATTAACAGCTGATTTCTCATTAACAATATAGATCAAAAAAAAAAAAAAAAAAAACCCACCAATATAGGTCAGATAGCAGTGGAATGACATATTCAAATTGCTGAAAGAAAAAACTGTTAACCAAGAAACATACCCAGAAAAACTATCTTTTAAAAGTGAAGGCAAAATAAAATATATTCCCAGATAAACAAAAACTGGGTGAATTTCTTGGTAGCAAATCCACATAAAAAAATATGAAAGTAAGTTCTTCCGGCTCAAGCAAGTGGCACCAGACAATAATTTGATTCCATACACACACACACACACATACACACACACAAGTACCTGTAAAGGTAATTATGTAAGTAAAACATAAGAGACAATATAATTGCACATTTTTTCCTTTCTTCCTCTTAACTGATTTAAAAAAACTATGAAACAATATATATAATTGTACTGTCAAGTCTATAACATGTAGATATATGTAGATACATATTACAATATATTTGACAGTAACAACATAAGTGAGGCAAGTGGTAACAAAGCTGTATTGGAGGAAGGAGTGACACAGGATGGCTGCTCAAATTGCAGAAAGAAATGAAAAGAAGCAGAAATGGTAAATACAATGGTTAATATAACCAATTCTATAAATATCTACTTTCTATCCTATGAAAACACAAGCTACTGAAACTGAATCTAGAAGAAACAGAAAATATGAGTAGATCTGTGGCAAGTAAATTATTTAAATTAGTACTTTTAAGACTTCCCCAAGGAAAAACCCAGGCCTAAATGACCTTATGATGAATTCTACCAAATGTTTAAAGAACAATTAACACCAGTCCTTTCCCAGCTCATTCTACAAGGCCAGTATTATTCTGATATGAAAACCAGACTAAGATTTCACACAAAATGAAAACTAAAGACTAATACATTGCTTTTCTGTATTCCCGATGCTGTACGTTCCATCTCCATGACTTACTTGTTTTGTAACTGGAAGTTTCTACCTCTTAAACTCCTTTATTTATTTCACCCATTTCCTCACCCCACTTCCCCCTTGGCAACCACCTGTTTGTTCTCTGTATTTAAGAGTCTATTTTTTCATTTGCCTTTTTTTCTTTGTTTCTTAAATTCTACATATGAGTGAAATCATGAGATTGTCTTTTTCTTTCTGAAGTACTTCAGTTAGCATTATACCCTCTGGGTCCATACATTTTGTTACAAATTGCAAGATCTCATTTTTTGTGTGTATGGGCTGAGTAATATTCCATTATGTGTGTGTGTGTTTACATCTTCTTTATCCATTCATCTATTGATGGACACTTTGGTTGTTTCCATAGTTTGATTATTATAAATAATGCTGCAATAAACAAAGAGGTGTATTTGTCTTTTTGAATTAGTGTTTTTATTTTCTTTGGGTAAATACCTAGTAGTAGAACTACTGGATCATATGGTAATTCTACTTTCAGTTTTTTGAAGAACCGCCATACCATCTTCCATAGTGGCTATATCAGTTTACATTCCTACCAACAATGCACGAGGGTTTTTTTTTTTCTCCACATCTCACCAACATTGTTATTTCTTGCCCTTTTTTAATCTAGCCATTCTCACAGGTGTAAGGTGATCTCTCGTTGTGGTTTTGATTTGCATTTTCCTGATTTGTGATGTTGAGCATCTTTTCACATGTCTGTTGGCCACCCATATATCTTCTTTGAAAAATATCTATTCAGGTCCTTTGCCCATTTTTAATCAGATTATTTGGGGGTTTTTGTTATTGAATTGTATAAGTTCTTTGTATATTTTGGATATTAACCCCTTAGCAGATACATCATTTACAAATATCTTTTCCCATTCAGTAGGATGCTGTAGTGTCTTTTTAAATATAGATGTGAAAATCCCTAACAGAATATGTAGTTATTCTATTCTACATATTAGAATGTAGTAAACCAAATCCAGCAACATTTAAAAAGGATTATACACCATGACCAAATGGGGTTTATCCCAGGAATGGAAGATTGGTTTAAATTTAGAAAACAATTTGTGTAATACATCGTATTGTGGAATAAAGGTCATAAATCACATGATCATCTCAATAAATGTAGGAAAATCATTAGAAAAAAAAATTCAAAAGTCTTTCATGAGAGGAACACTCAAAAAACTGAGAAGGGAACTTTCTCAACTTGATTAATTAAGTTCATTGCTATGAATGGAATGTTTGTGTCCCGCCAGAATTGATTGTTATGTTGCAGCCCAATCTGCAATGTGATGGTATTTTGAGGTAGAGCCTTTGGAAAGCAATTACGATGCCATGAGGGAGGGGCCTTCATGAATGGGATTAGTGCCCTTCTAAGAAGAGACACAGGAGAGTTTGTTTTTGCTCTCGGCCATGTGAGGATAGGAGAAGACAGTCCATCTGCAAACCAGGAAGCAGTCATCAGATACCAGGTCTGCCGGCACCTGATCTTGGACTTTCCAACCTCTAGAACTGTGAGAAATAAATATTTGTTTTTAAGCCATCCAGTCTGTGATATATTTATATATTTATTATGGTCTATGCTATAAATAGACCCAAGACAGCCATCTGTGGAAAACCCACAGCTAACATCATACTCAATGGTGAAAGATTGGATGCTTTCACCCTAAGATATTTGGGTTTTCTTTATTTGGTATCTGCCCATGTATTTTATCACTTTAAAAAATAATCTAGTTCTTGGGCACCTGGGTGGCTCAGTTGGTTAAGCGACTGCGTTCAGCTAAGGTCATGATCCTGGAGTCCCAGGATCGAGTCCCTCACGGGCTCCCTGCTCAGCAGGAGTCTCCTTCTCCCTCTGACCCTCCCCCCTCTCATGCTCTCTCTCTCTCTCTCTCATTCTTTCTCTCAAATAAATAAAATCTTTAAAAAAAATAAAAAATAATCTAGTTCTTTCTCCCTAATCCACACTGATATTAATGCATTAAACTATTAATTACCTATTGCAATATTAAACTCCTTCTTGACCTTTGGCAATAACTTTTTAAAAGTTATGTTTTGCTTTTAGGTAAGCATGATAGTTTTACCTCTTAAGAGAAGAAGTGTGAGATCTTGTCCCTTTACTCTTCAAATATATTACCACAATAAAATACATAATATTCTTTCCTTTTAATATCACATCTCAATCTTTATGCTATTTATTTAGGTCTTTGTTTTTATTTATTTTCTTAATTAGCCTTGCTATAGCAGGATTCTTTTTCTAAATCTGAAAGGACTCTTTTTTTTGTAAGGAATTTTAACAGTCCATTCACACTATGTTAATTGACAATTTGGTTTTTTATCCTCTCAACCTTATAAATGATTTAATTCTGCATGGCTTATGCTTTTGTTTTGGATGCAAAGATTCTCCCTTTAAAGATTATTTTGAGAGAACTCCCAATTCTGAATTTCACATGCAGTATTCAATACATGTCGTGATTGGTGTTGATATAAACCTACTAAGCACATTTTTTTCCTTCCCTTATGTTCACAAAGACAAACTGAGTGGCAGCAATAATGCAAACAAAAGACAGAAAATCGCCCAAGACTTTCTCAGCTCTATTGACCAAACAGGAGAACTCCTGGCAATGTTTGAAGATGATGAGATTGATGAAGTTAAACAAGAAAGAATGGAGGTACGGTATACTCTTCCCTTCTTACAGTAATAGAATACCCATTACAGTGCTTATGCTATTGGGTTCTATTCTTATGTTCTTTAATTGTTATCTGAATTGCCCAGAACAGTGTGTTTGCATGTCTGAAAGTAGCATGGTGCAGCAGAGTCTCCCTCTAAGGGTGTCGTACTCTGCCTTCAGACAAGACTTTGGAAGACAACTTCAGTGCTCTGTTTCTCTCTTTCCTCCTCTAAATATGAGTAGATTTCCCTAAGCTTCTTGCTAAGCCTAACTTTTACTGATATTATTTTATTTCAAACTTATTTTTTGTTCCAAACCATATAGTTATCTTTGTGGGCAAAGGTAATTTTCCTGCTTTCGTGTTGGCATATAGCATGAAGAGCTGTCTTTCAGGCTATGAATAGACTCGCTAGCTAAGGTAGTATCCAGAGCAATTACGTGCTTATAGCCCTGTAACACAAAGTTAGTCCCGTGTGTTTGGGTTCCCTGGATATGTTTTCACAACACATATAAAAATTGTGCTCCTTCTATTTGCCTAAGCTATCTATTCATAAAATTATTGTTTCCTTAAATATTCAAAAATAAAAATGACTGATTTTATTTGAGTGCCTTCCAAAATACAAAGCATTATTCTTATCACCCTTCTTATTATTATACTTTTACATGTAAAAAAAATCTTCATTTTCCCCTTCTCTTTAAATTGGGCAAGAGAAGTAATTCCAAAAATCCAAAAGACCATGTTAATAATCTCTATGCATGCTAAAAATATAATTATTTCATGTTAAATTCTGGAGGAAGTCCAATAGACATACATGCTTTATAAGCTTTAACAACCTTCTTTAAAGAATTAGTATGCTTAGATCATGAACTGTGATCTAAAGGCAATGTTCTCTTTAGGTATCAATTACTTTAAAAATGTGTGGTTATCTTGGTTTGGGGCAACTGCAAATGGTTTTAGTTCAACTTCGCCGTGGGCCAAAATCATGCTCAGTTGTCCAAAGCAGATGATAAACATATATTTCTGATGTCATTATGGCCTAAACAGGATATGATTGTTTAGTGGCATGGTTTCACTTACGATGCATTCTACACAGAGCAAATATTGTTTATGCTTTTTTAAAAAAACATTTTTATATTACACTAATGGGCATTAAGAAAGATTCACTAAGAAAGGACTCTGCGTGAAACATTAATAAAATAGAACAAGTAGCTTCTCAGTTTTGATGGGAAAATCTCTGTCAACCAAGCCCACTGCCTGGAAGGGCATTCCATAATCAAGGAGAAGAGAAGAAATGGAGCATGTTGTAACACTAAGCTCATAATAGCAGGCTACTGTAGGCTTGGAAAAATGATGAGTCAGTAAGGTGCAAGTTAAAGTCAATAAAGTAACGGGAAAGGCAGACGAGGAAGGGCGTGGGAACTGATGTAGTTTATCTACCTCTTCTCTGTAGTTACCTATTACATAGTGGTAACCAGGATAATAAAATATCAATAGTTGGTGAAAATGGTTACAACGCAAGTCAGCTTCATCTATGTAATAAAAATCAGATTGGCAGGTCTTTAAGCTTTGTATCATAACTAAAATCTTCTCTAACCAAGATAACAAAGAGCAGTTTTGAGATTCTACTCATCCAAATAACAGAGTTTAACTGAAGAAAAAGTGCTGAACTTATAGACATAACTGCAGACAGTAGAAAGTGGAACCGTTAACAGCATCGGCCTTGCCTGCTTCTAATTTGACAGGTTATAGTTTCAAGCATAAACCACAACTGCAGCAGTCCATATGAAACCACTTTGGACTCACAGACTGCAATCTCTGCTTTTCAAGTGCAGTGGAATAATCAGTCCTGGCATCACTCTGTGATTTCATTTTTCTCTAAGCATCACTTAATGTTGCAGAAATTTTGTTTGCTACCTCTTCCCAAGGATGTATGCAAATAGTATAGACCTACCAACAAAGCTTATTATTGTTTTGTTTTCTTTCCTTTTTTTTCATTTAAATGTAATTTAGAAGAGAAAAAAATTTTATAGACAATAAAAACCCACCTGGGTTCCTAGTTTTTTCTCAAGACATTGGACGAGTATACAAAAAAAAAAAAAGTTCTTTCCTGTTGTTCTAGGTGATTTCTATGTGTGCCTGGCTTTGTGTTTCGCTCATAATTTACTTCAGCACTATTAAAGATTATATGGCTTGAAATATAAAAACTCTGGATTTTTACTTCCATTTCTAATTGCTTGTCCTTCCATCATGATAGTTATCTAACTTTTACCCTATTTTAGTTTTCTCCAACACCAAATTTTTAACACTTAGACATGTATGTATAGTAGAGATCTATGACCCATTGTCTCTGAAGATCCTTACAAATTCTCAAATAAAGATTAAATAATGTTCAGAATTGCTTTCAAGGGGCTAGGAAACAGAAGCAGGGATTTGGTAAGCATAATAATACATTTGAATGCTCACAGCTCCTCTCAGCTCCTCCACTTAACCTCCACCCCAGAATGACACAGGTATGTTTTACTGTTGATCCTGTTTCTTACGTTCTAATCTTTTGAGTGTTAATCAATTAAATGTGGTTGTGTCAACCAAAGGCCAAGAGGGTGGTCACAAAAAACTGCAAATAGCTTTAGGGTTTTTTTGTTTTTTAAAGATTTTGTTTATTTATTTGGTGGGGGGGAGAGCATGAGCAGGGGCAGAAGCAGAGGAAGAAGGAGAAGTAGACTCCCCAGGGAGCACAGAGCCCAAAGCGGGGCTTGATCCCAGGACCCTGAGGTCATGACCCAAGCTGAAGTCAGACACTTAACCTACTGAGCCTCCCAGGCACCCCATCTTTGGGTTTTCTTAATGGAGTGATTGTGGTCACTCACAGAAGAGCCTTGCCTAAGACCCAGCTGCTCTACTGTGAAGGAACCTGAGAAGCTCAAGTTTATCATCCATCAAGTAAAATATCTGGTCTAATAAACTACTAGGTTTGTGAAGGGGATATAAACAATGAATCTTTAAAAAGTTGAGTGAATTCTACCTTCTGACTAATCTTCAAATTGATAAAAGTAAACAAGAAAGCAAAGATTAGAGCCCACCAGAGAGACCAGACTTTAAATTAATTAGGGTGCTAAAACCTCAGAGGCCTGACACTGGAATCTAGAAATAAAGCAGAGTAGAACACATAAAATTTAAGATCACTTAAAAATGTTTTTAATTGGCTTAAAATTGAATAACATTCCAGGTGGCCATCTGAATTTAACCTAAAGTGATTGGCCATAGATTTTAAAACACAAAGTTTCTCATAAAAGCTGAATGATCAGAGAAATAAGGTTCACCATTCAGTTATGCCCCAAAAATAATGAGGTTATGATCCCTGGGGAGGTTGAAATCCAGTGTTATCCTTCGTGGAGCTAAGTATATTGGAAAATTCACTGAAGAAGCCAGAGAGGTGGGTTGCTATAGATGTTCTCCATCTTCTCTTGGTTTTGAAGTCTGTTCTTTCTACCATTCCCCTTCTCTATCTATTATTATTATTTTTTAATTATAATGGAAAGTGAAATAAAATGCCTGTAAGACTAACAGTTTAAAAATATCTTAGGTAAGATTCATCATAAAAGAAAAAAGGTTAACCCTAGTAAGGTAAATGATGTTTACAAATATGAAAAAAATTAAAAACATTGTTTAAAAATGAAACCCAGAAAAAAGTTTAAAATTTAAGTGTACATGAGATTAAGAAATACAGAATTGATAGACTGGAAAGATATAGTTTATGTGCCTACATACAGATGATATATATAGATACACATATACTTTTACATACATACTGTTATGCCTGCATGTGTGTATTCTGTAAGAATAGAAATATAGTTTTAGTAGATTTTTTTTAATGTAAAAGTAAAAGAACAATCAAAGGTATATCAGACAAACTCAGATGCTAATAGTAGCAATTATTAGTTCAGAGAAAAGATTCCAGGGGAAAAGCTTTAAAAGGGAACCATGTCAGTAGTTTTATGTTACTAAGTGATGCTGCCTGTGATGAAGAGAGTAAATACAAAATGTTAATCATCAAATTCCAGAGAATTGAAATATACAAAGTAAAAGCTTCCAGTAATTCAGGGAGAGGTCAGAGAAATGCATTTGTTGAGACTGAAACACACTATTTCAGTCATTAACAGATTGACTTGGGGGGAAAATTTTTAATAATAAAAATTTAACTTTATAGATGCATATAAAACATTTTATGAATGAGCAGCAGTTTTAAAATCTTATCCAGGTAACTCCAAGGACTCCAAGCTGCTCTTTAGGGAAGGTAAGGGGAAGTTTGGTGGGTCTCTAGCCTCTCTCCTCCCCCCACACTTTCCTCAAACAGAAAAACTTCTTTGATTTTACATAATGGATCTATATATCATCAGTAAAGAAGGGGTTTCATTATTTTTTTCATTGAAAATCATTACAGAACGTCACAGGAGTCTTTCTGTCTCTCACGGTCAACAGATTTCAAAAATGTACAAATTTATAGAGCACATTACCCTACCAGAGCAAAAAAAGAAAACCTGAAAGTAGTAAGAGAAGTTAAACATATAAAACCCTAATTGATTGAAAATTTAAAAAGAAGAAACCAACAACTAATAGGAGCAACTAATGGACCCACAACAGATTAAAAATTACTACCATTGGCTATTTGGGCAATAACAGCACTGAGAATAGTCCATGTAAAATTTACAAAATTCAGACAAAACTTTATTTAAAACAAAGGCAACTTTTTAGCTTTTAAGCCTTTGTTAAATTGGGGAAAATTAAAATAAACGATTCAACTAAAATTAGAAATTTTACATCAAGGGGCACCTAGGTGGCTCAGGCAGTCAAGTGTCCAACTCTTGATTTCAGCTCAAATCATGTGAGATTGAGCCCCACATGGGGCTCCATGTTGAACGTAGAGTCTGCTTAAGATTTTCTCTCTCCCTCTGCCCTTCCCCCACCACCCCTGCACATATTCTCTCTCTCTCTCTAAAAA